TTGAGAAATGTCGTACAATATTTTTTTTCCACTTCGATGTATACAGATGCTAAACGAAGCGTTTATTTCCCATGCCTACAGTTATATTCATTCATGTATTCATTTATTCAATATGTATGTACATACAGAGACACACGCATAAACGGTGTGGCAAAAATGTATACAAACTCTTACAGTGTATGGCTCAAATCAAATAGCTTTATTTCGAAATTACACGTTAGTATTACTAATGTCATCCAGGCTCATCTTTGAACAAAGAATTCTCATCCTATGTATATACATACACAGACAAACACATAGAGGCTGTGTCGAAAATTTATACATACTCTTACAGTGTATAGGTCAAATCAACTGGTTTTCTTTTCAGATTGACACGTTAGTATTACTAATGTCATCCAGCTTATCTTTGAACAAAGAATTCTTATCCTATGTATATAGATACACAGACAAACACATAGAGGCTGTGTCAAAAATGTATACCCACTCTTACAGTTTATAGCTCAAAACTAATAGCTTTCTTTTCAGATTGACCCGCTAGTATTACTAATGTCATCAAGGCTCATCTTTGAACATAGAAAGTTCATCCTATGTATATACATACACAGACACACACATACATGGTGTGTCAAAAATGTATACACTCTCTTACAGTGTATAGCTCAAATCAACTAGATTTCTTTTCATATTGACCCGTTAGTATTACTAATGTCATTCAGGTTCAGCTTTGAAAGTTCTTCCTGAAATGCTACTGGCAGTACAAAAATGCAGTTGAATTTCAAAGGCTGTATCAAAGAGAGTTTCCTTGATATTGACACCTGTATATTATTTACTACCTGAATATTATCGGCATCTTTATTGTTACTATCACAACGTTTCAATTGTAGTGTACTCTGGACTTCCTCAGTTGTCTGTCGAACTGGGTGATCTGGAGTATCGACCTGAACATTTTATTTAATCTACGGGGAACATTTTTCTTTTCTTTTTTTTTATCTCTGTCTTGGGAAATATTGTTTAGGTTATTTATTACTGCTCACTTATTACTAACTGATTCGTCTATACTTCTTGATCCCTTTTTTTTTTTTGCTTTTAGAACCTTGATGTCAAGCGTGAATCCCTTTGCCGCCACTATCTAATGTTTCCTCCCCCCCCCATATATCTAAGCTCGGCCTATGGACAAGGCAGACGTAGCCGCATATAAACTGATTCCTTTAGGCGTCTGATTCGCCAGATTTCTCTGTCTTATATTTTCATGTTATTCCACAGTGGTTGACAAATTTAACATTCTCACCGCTAAAAATGATCTTTTCGATGTTGCCTTAGGCTTACTTTTAGGGGTCGGCTAGTTTCACCTCTGGATTGTTTGTTACCATTGCAAAAGATGTAACATATATTCTCCTTTTTCTCATCCCAGATAGTCAAACTGAAACTGCATTATTCTTCAATTAAAGATTCATTTAATTCCTGATGGCAGGCAATCCGTTCTGGATTTTCAATGTATTAGGTTGGTGCAAAAATAATCACGTAATAATGTCGTTTTTTGACGTTAAAAAATACGTCAAAAAACGACATTATTACGTCATTATTTTTGCACCAACCTAATATTTATTTTACAAAATCATTTATGATATCTTTTTTCAATAATATTATTTTCAGGCTAATTCTCTTACGTAATTATAAGTAAGGCATTTAATGTATCCATATATTTGCCCCAACCAGCTAGTAAGGTTTGTATTCATTTCTGACTACTTTTCCACCGGATTTTCAATGCGTTTCTATAAATAAAAATCATTTATAACACATATGAGACACACCTGATTCAATCTCTCTACATAGCAACAAGTCATACGTCATTGTGAATCCAAGGGTTTATGGGCTGCAACCTAATACAATTATTAGAATAGCCAGATTTACAATTGCAAATGATATCGTTTAGAGAAAGCATAATACCCATGTTTCTTTGATAGACACGAATGGGGCTATCGAGAATTATGTCCTGAAATTTACACTTTTTATCCCATCATTCAAACAGAACACGTTTGCTGGACAAACGGCCACCAATAAAAGTGTTTCCGTTAAATTTAAGCAAACTTTTGTTACATTCTATTGGTTTAAGCTTTAAAGAAAGGGACATATGTACTTTCTCAGCATTTTCGTGCAAGACTGTATCATGCAAGTTAAAAAAACGGCATGAAAGTTTCACTTGTTGTAATATGAAACATAATAAAACATAATATATTATCGTTGAAGAAATGTTCAGTTGTCGAAAATATTAACGAGAACACGAAACTAAAATTGTCATACGTAATCTTTTTATTCCTCTATATACCGTATCTCTTCCGTACTTTAGTGATCATGGCTCTCCACAAATTCCTGCCCTTTGTGGCACTTAGAAAATTTTGTACTTTTTACTCTTTAAACCCTGTTCTATCAACCTTATACACAAGTTCGATAGGTATATTATACGCTGCAGATGTCTGTCCCTCTTGCCTACAGTATCTCCTGCGAGTGTCAACTTTTCCAAGCCTTTTTCCTCATTATGTGCTCTAGAAATTTCGTCTGTCTCTTTTTGATGCTACGAGTAATTGTTGTTTTTGCTTCCACTTTCTTTAAAACTTAAAGAAAACTTAGAATCTCATTTCTATAGCCTTAATTCTCTACTTTATCTCTGATGAGAATCTGCATCATTCACTAGCATATAAATAAATATACAAATATTATATAAGAGTTCAGTCCCCTTTTATGGATTTCCTATGAAATTTTCCTCTTTCTTAATACTTTGCTTAGCTTTCGGAAGAGATCTTTCGCAATCCCAATGCGCCTTCGTATTACGGTGTCGTATATTCCGTCCTCTGCTAAAACATTTCCTAGATATTTAAATTGTTGCACTTGTTTAATTTTGATATCTTCAATTTGTAATTCGCATTTTCCCCTTTGTTGACAACTGCATACTCTGTCTTCAAAGAGTTGATATTTACTATTTTCTTCATGCTCTATTTTACTACTTTCTCTATGAGTACCTGTAGTTTCTGCCTCTCCTTCTCTCTCTCTCTCTCTCTCAGTCTATCTATCTATCTATCTATCTATCTATCTATCTATCTATCTATATATATATATATATATATATATATATATATATACACTCGGGGATGTATGCATATTTATGTTGATTAACATGAACTCAGGACTATTTACGTGACACTGCAAGCAATATAGTCGTATAAAATGAACATTATATATCCGGTTTTATTATATTTCATATTTGGAAGGTTCGAGCGAGTTCCAGGCTTCCATGATTTCCTCAAACTCTTTAAAATGTTTTCGGTGAATATTATTATTTGTACATATTTAATTAAAATAAATAAATAAAATGTAAAATTTGATGAAAAATTTCAAAACAAAAAAAAATTACTGAATTTCATAATTCGTTGTAATATGAAACATAAAACGTAATAAATTATCGTTGAATGAGTGTTCAGTCTTTGAAAATATTCCGTACTTTAGTGATCATGGCTCTCCACAACTTCCTTTGCTTTATAGCACTTAGAAAATTTTGTATTTTTGCTCTCTTAAGCCCTGTTCTATCAACCATATACACAAGTTCGATAGGTATGTTATACGCTACAGATGTCTGTCCCTCTTGCTTCAATATGTCTTGCGAGTGTTAAATTTCCAAGCCTTTTTTCTCATTATGTGCCTTAGAAATTTCAACTGTCTCTTTTTGATGCTACGTGTAAGTGTCATTTTTGCTTCCACTTTCTTTAAAACTTTTCCATAAATCACTGGCAAATTAGCATACTGATATTACATAAGAGTTCAAGTACACTTTTCTTTGTTTCTAAAAAATTTCCTCTTTCTTAATATTTTGCTCAGCTTCTGGAAGGCATTTTTCGCTAAAAAATGTCCTTTCAAATCATGGCGTTGCGTTTTCCGTGCTCTCTGAAAACACTCCCTAGATATTTAAGTTGATGCGCTTGCACGATGTTGGTATTTCCAACTTGTTATTTGCATGTCGCGCTTCATACATTCTGTCTATTAAGCAACCCCAGTACATATTGGTGTCACCCCGGAATAACTTTTCTTAGAAGGAGTGTTCCTTATTGGCATTAAATTAGATTCAGTTCACCGTGTAGTGCTTGGTCTGAGCGGAAGTAATTCAATTTCAGCTTTTGCACATGCGTGCTGTGAACATGAGAGGCTAGTCCTCTTTATTTCCTTCCGACATAGGGACAGAACGCTAAAGTTAGCGCTCCGTGCTGCAACAAACACAACATGGCGTAGGTAGTACACAACACGCGCTTCCTAATTCGCCAGTTGTTCCCGATAGAATAATTATTTCTATCTTGCTTTGTTTTACTCTTTTGTTTGCCTATTTTCTCAAGTTTTGTCCAAAGCACAACACCTAACTTAGCAACAACATTTTAATGATCAGAGGGGTTAGTTATGAGTTTCTCTTGTCTGTTTTAACGTTACAATACAAATGAAAATTACAGAGAAACATTTTCGGGTGTGAAATTTGTAGTGAAGATGAAATTACCAAAGCAAGAACAAAACTTAAATATTGGAATTAGGGCTTTATATTATAGGACCTGTTGCTAAAGACGATTCCTGAAACGCTTTGAGATTTTGCGGACAATATGTCGGATCTCATTTGATTTATTTCTTAAAACCAAACAGCGATACTCTACAAGTCACTGAATAAGACATAATTAAAATCTCACAGTATTGCAAGTTTTTCTTTGTTTGTTACGGCTTACAAATTTTTGCAGGTTATTTAAAGCCAGAAAATATTTTTATGTTGTAAGAATATTTTCGAGATAATAATGATTTATGGACAAAAGTCCTAATAATTAACCCAGAGCTGGAGGGAAAAGGTGGGTTCATGCCTTTTCCATTGGTATTTTACGCGTAAATGAATATAACGAACACGGCCGAAATTGGAACTCGGCACTCCGATTTCCAATTCCGGTCTGTTATCCATGACACCACCCACACATCCAAGCTTACACCGTCTGATATTCCCAAGCCGTCCACCATCTAAGTACGGACCAGGCTCGACGTTACTTAACTTCGGTGATCGTATGTGAACTAGTGTTTCGATGTGATACGGCCGTAAGCTATCTATAACACCCATGCACCCATGCATTACAGCACCTGTTATTTGCAGGCGGTCACCCGTTTAGATACTGACCAGGCTCGATGTTACTTAACTTAGAGAGTAGAAATAGCAACCGTAACGAATTTACTTGTAAATAAGTTGAATGACTTCATATTAAGCATCTTAGTAAACACGAAATGTGTACTCTGTATTCGCCAAACCAAAAAGTTACCGTAGAAAGTTCCTGGAGATCCATATTGAAATGACAAACTGAAAATGGTGAAGATTTAATCCGTCATGGTTAATATATATATATATATATATATATGTATGTATGTATGTAATAAATAAAGCGCAGTGTACGTGTGTCCGTCCGCCCGTCTGTCCGTTTTTCGATCTCGGCGAATCATAAAAAAACTGATGTCACGAGTATTAACTACTGTAGTTACACGCAATTAAAAATTAGATGATTAGCTAATTTAAAGTTAAATTTAAATATCCAAGAATGTTTAAACAACGATTCTTTATTAAATGTGTAACTTTAATTTCGTTTTTTGCCGCAGTTGTAATTGATAAAAATTAAGCAGGATACGGTACAATGTACATATGCTTTTTTCTTTTCCTTTTTCTAACAGGCGTACTGTAACATATCCGAAATTCGGGTTCCCTAATGTTTTTTAAGAGTGACTGAAAAGATCATAAAAAATGATTTAAAAAGAAAATAAAAATTGCGCACAAAATAAATGTAAACAAACTACGGATATTGATTGCGTATACGAAGAAAGATTTTGCCGAATTAAGTTGTCGAATAAAGATAAAATAATTTTATTATTTCTAATTTCTTGTAACTTTTATGTACATAAGACGATGAAGGTAAAAGATCGAAGGCCCAAAAGCTCTCCGCAGGCTACAGCATAAAGAACACTCGAAAGACGGCTTCGAGGCTAATTCGGAATCAGTTGAATTATAGCAATTCAAGGCGAGGAATGAGAGATTCTGAAATGTTCATTATGACTAAACTAAATATTAGTCTTATGCATAATGTTAATACCTGAAATGAGAAATTGTAACTCAGGCCTGTAAGATAAATTGAAGAAATGAAACAAATTTAAAAAGCAGGAAAATGTATAAATTTCACTAATAATTTTGAAGTGGCGATAGTGAAGCTAGCAACACGCAATCGGTTTTTTAATCAAACGAAGAGAAAATCCCGGATGAATTTGAACAGTTTGGTTTGAACAGGGCGACTAGGATGATTGTGATCATGATCTGCATCGGCAGATCGTAGGCTCTGCTGAGAAAACAGTTGTCTAAAGACTGGAACCAGATAATTTTTGAAGATGAATAAATATAACCAGAAAAACATAGATAGATAGATAGATAGATAGATAGATAAAATAAGCAGTGAAAGAGACATATGAACAGAAGGAGAAATATGCAGAGAAAATAGAAAAATTAGAGAAAATATGAAAGATTAGATAAATAAATAGATAGATAGATAGATAGATAGATAGATAGATAGATAGATAGATAGAAACTGAGATACATAGATGTATAGATAGATATGAAGAAACTGATAGATAGATAGATAGATAGATAGATAGATAGATAGATAGATAGATAGATAGAAACTGAGATACATAGATGGATAGATAGATATGAAGAAACTGATAGATAGATAGATAGATAGATAGATAGATAGATAGATAGATAGATAGATATGCGCAAACACGGGGAGACAGATATGAACAGAAAGTGAGATAAATACACGGAAACAAATAGAGAAAAATACACATATGAACACTTAGAAAGATAGATAGTAAGGTATTAAGAGACTGATATATATATATATATATATATATACATATATATATATATATGTGTGTGTGTGTGTGTTGGTGTGTATGTGGGGGAACGTGTGTTCGTGTGTGTATACATGTGTGTACATATATATATATATGAACAAACTGACATAAATATATATATGTGTGTGTGTGTATATACACGTGTATATATATATATATATATATATATATATATATATATATATATATATGAACATATACGAACAAACTAGCTAGCTATTTATCTTCGTCTACTTAGCTAACTCTATATGTATATATGAATTGAAATAACCAGACATACAGACAGACAGATGGATAGATAGATAGATAGATAGATAGATAGATAGATAGATAGATAGATAGATATGCGCAAACACTGAAAGAGACATATATGAACAGAAAGTGATATATAGATAGATATACATAGGCAAATATATAGATTGAGATACAAACACATATAAACAGACTTAGCAAGATAGGTATATAGGAAGAGAGTGGTTTATATATATATATATATATATATATATATATATATATATATATATATGAACTAATGAACTGACGCTAAAAGAGACACATATGAATCTACTTAGATAGATAGACAGATGGACAGGCATTAACAGATTGAGATAAATATTCCCTAAACAATGTGAGAGTGTACTATTTCACAAATAAGTTCGCAAAGATTGTAAAGCGCCAATCTATCTTTTAAAGAAACGTCAACTTTGAAAGTGACAACAAACGAAATGAATAGGCATGTACGTGCATGTCATTAACTGCTGGGAATCGCATAATATACTGAGTCCACTCAGATGTGCGCAACAAGCGGCGGCTAAATGTAACGTGCGGTAAGAAACATCAAATCTTCATTAGTTGAAGCGATCATCTTGAAGCACGTCACGATCTGTGTTATTCGCATTTGAAGTCGGCTTCCGCCGGCGTGATCCTATCCATGCCTCCACATAAGTAGTACTCATCAGAAAGAGAAATGTGTAAATTTTCAAAGACAAAATAAATGACCGATTCTTGGTACTTCCGGCCTGGCAAATCTGATGTCTTCATTACCATTCCAACAATATCTACCATTCCAACATTATCTTTCTATTTATCTATGGGCAACTACCATAGAGAGACGATCGCTTCACAAGCTAATTTGCTACTGCCGAGAGATAGATGTCAAATGAGTCCTCAAAAAAGATTAGCCTTGAGCCATATCTGGCTAATCCAGTAGTTTTTGAGATTTTGCGAAGCTCACACATCTTCGAGGTTGCAAAATCCTCGTGCTGCTTCGAGATTTAGAAAACATTCTCGTGACCCTTAGAGATTTCAAAATCCATACCGTGCCTCTTTGAAATTTTAAAATACTTCTCGTACCTGTTCGAGATTTGAAAATTATTCTCGTGCTCCTATGAGATTACAAAATCCTTCTCGCGCTCCTTAATCTTAAGACAAAGAATAAAGTTAGAATTATGAAAATTTAACGTTCTTCTTTTATATACCAAATCCTTAAGGATATAGATGACCATGGCTCTCCACAACTTCCTGTATTCTGTTGCTATAATTTTAGGCAATTATTTTTCCTCTTTATGTTTTTAACCATCTAGGCACAAAAAATTCGTTAAATAGATTACTCTTTTATCTTAAGACAAAATTCAGAGACGGATATGCAAAGTCTACAGCCACTTTCTCACAGACGTGCCATCTCTTCCCCCTGTCTTTTCTACAAATACTTTCACGGTAACTGCTTTGACGAGCTACTTTCGCTGGTACCCAAACTGCATGAATTTAAACGTGCTACTAAGTTGGCATTTCGGTCCCACCCTTTCACTGTCGAAACGGTTAAATGTAGCCGTCTTCTTTTACTCCAGTAGATTCATGTCTCGCACTCCCTTCCTCTTACTTGTTTCCTTGATAGCTATAATCTTCAATTATTCAAATGCAATGTCAATCGACATCTTCAGATACCAGCCCTTCTCTTCATCCTTTCCTCTATCACGCCTCTTTAGTCTTACTGTCACTTTCTGTAACCCCCTTGCGTGCCTTCCTTAAAAAAAATAAAAACAAACAAAAAAAAACACGAAAAAGTATGTCCTGTCAGTGGCACATTCCTTAAGCCGTCTTTCTTCATTAAGCGTCTTAAGTTACAACTCTCTCTCTGATTTTAAGTTAATGCTTTCTTAAAATTCCAATTCAGATGATATATTGCGCAAACAGGTGATTTTTTTAGAATTTAAGCATTTTTGAGATGATGATTTTCTTATAAAGTTATACTAATTAACCCATAAATGTAGGAGAAGAAGTGAATTAATATCTTTCTACAAGAGTATTTGCGCATCAATGAATGTAACTTACGCGACTGGTATTAGAACTCAGCTCTGCGATCTTCAATTCTGAGTCGTTATTCATTGGTATAATATATCCGCATATCCAAGCCTACAACACCTAGTATTTCTAAGCGGTCACCCATCTAGGTACTGAACAGACACGTTGTTGCTTAACGTTGATGATCGTACGGTATTTACCCGACCTCATCGTAGGATGAGGCACAAATTCCTCCTAGACCCTGCATGCACGAGGTCAGGCTGGCCTACCACCCCAGATGAGACTCTGCCCTTCAGCATAGCCACGTCTGGTTTCCTCTCTGCCCGAAAGGAGTTCGACAAGTCAGCCACAAGCCTGGAAGCAAACTGCACTGGGAAAAGTTACTATATATATATATATATATATATATATATATATATATATATATATATATATATATATATATATATATATATATATATATATATATATATATATATGCCTCTGTAACTAAGTACAGATGCTTATTATATATACCTCTGCCTGATTCATCTCTGAAAGCGGTTTTAAAATTTCATGTCGGATGATCGAAATGTCGCTGCTTGTCAAAGGACCATCACGCTAAAAAAGCGGTTCCCGTACAATCATCAACGTTAAGCAACAACGAGCCAGTTCAATAGCTAGATGGGTGACCGCTGAGAAATACTAGGTGTTGTATGTGTTTGAATTTTCTTTTTCCTTTCACAACCTAAAAATTCAAACATTCATTTTAGGAGAACCGAATTTTTGGGTGATTATCTTGCGTTTAGTCTGTCATCACGGTGGACATTTATAGATAGATAGCATATATATATATATATATATATATATATA